GTATCAAATGCTTTAAAATAGTCAACAAAAATAATTCAAATAATGCAGGAAAGTTGACTTGACTGATTGGAGAAAAGATACGTTTAGAACGATTCATACGCTAAAACTTTTAGGAAAAATAAATAAGCATCAGGGGAAACCCACTAGCTAAACCCACGCCTGGAAAAAGTCTACAGGTACTAAAACTTTTCCCGTTGTGATGTCGTTATGGAATATTTCTTCTTCGAAAATCCTTTTTTATTTGTAAAAGAAACTGTAATGAACACGATTAATGCCGGGAAAAATTGAAAAGAGAATTCTCCCAGCTTGAAAGCGAAAGCCAGAAAACTGTTTACCATAACAAGGTATTTCTAATAATGTTTGTTGCCTAACTGTGAAGTGCTCTCTTTCAGGAGAAACTAAAACACGATTCTCGATTTCAGGGAAAATTCACCAAAAAAGTTAATCAGAGTAAAAGATATTACAGAAGGCAGATATATATATTTCTTGATTACAGGCACGCCGGGCTAAATTCAGACAAATTCTTAACAACGTTTTGTCTTACTTTGTCGGCCATAATGTGACCGTGTCGAGTTGTTATGCTCGTCAAGCCTGGACGAAGGTCTTAAAGAAAGACTTCCTTCAGCAAATATTATAATTTTTTGATTCAAAATTTACGTATTTAAGATGAAGCTCTTGAAGACACATTATTAAATCTAGGGTCTGAGATTAGTCTTTTTTCTAGAAGGGTTTTCGTCAACATCTTCCTCCTCGTTTAATTTCGCTTTCGGTTTCCTAATCGAGTCCGCACTCAAAGAATCACCCAGAGAGATCTAGATTTTCTGCAAGCTTTCAGCAATGAATGTTGCTTGTGTTCGCTTGGAAAATATGTTTCCTCTTACCTTGTCGACTCAGCTTTACACTGTAAGTAACATCGTTGAATTCTAGATCGACTCGCTGTCTCGGTCGCTGCCAAAAACTTAACCGTTCGAGGTATTCCCCGGCTTCGAGCATCGAATCCTTGCTATCCACGGAACTCGCATCCTCTCCTGAACAGCATTTTACCGCCGTTTTGTAGTTCTCGGCTCGTCCAGTGATAAAATTTTCCATTTACTTTGCCCACTTGCAATTCCTGGGTATATTGTTTCTCAAATTATTCTTTTCCTTGAATCATGTGAGACCTCCTTTGTGCTCGTCTACGTCGACTCAAAGTCCAACCTGTGTAATTAATTAATAATTTATAACTCACATTTTCGGCGCAAATGTCTAATTTTCTCTGTATCTCGGCAAACTTGCGGTTGGATAGAACAGGTTACAAACCACTAGTATTGTAAGGGTTCCTGCCAGAAGGTTCTCCTTTAGAAATTGAAATTATGCAGATTTCCTGTGCGAGGTCAAGTCAAGCTACTTTAATTGCAGAACGGATTGTTACGTCACAAACTTCTGGACAAATTTCCAGCGTAACAAAATATCGCTAATAGCATTATCGCTCTTGTTTTCGCGGAGTAGCTGCAAGGAGAGGCTTAAAGTTCACAGCCGTAATAAAACAGCGCCGAATTCTTTATTGAAAGGGCTTGCTAGAGGAATCTACTTACGGGCCAATTTTACGCTCTGTATCGTCTTCAATCGAAACACGTTTTTCTCACAACATTAAAGGAAAGTCCTGCTCAACATCACATATCGTCAATCGAGACGATTTAATTTAATTCATGGCCCACCGTTGTTCAAAAGACTTTAAAAAAATTATTATAACAACAAAAACGAACTTGAGACGGCCTCCCACACGTTTGGAACCGGAGATATTGTGTTTATTTTCAGTAATATTCCACGTGGCGAATACGCACAATAGATATCAGCCGAGTTACTCAAATGGTCAACTACGACCAATCAAGATCATGCAAAAATCACGAATTTTAATCCAGCAACGAATTTCCTCCAAAAAGATAGCCTGAATAGCCACAAAATAAAATTACTTGCTAGCCCAGTGGTAACTTGAACTCGTTGACCGTGAAATAATTGAATTCCTCACATTAATTGATTCTATGATTCACATCATTCTTAGGCTCTCACCAAGTCTTCTAACTGATTAATGTGAATAATAAGTAAAATTGCCCTTCAGTAATCTGAAATACTTCAGAGCAAGATGTCTTGATTCAAAATAATTTTTGTTTATTGGACCTTAAATTAAGGTATTGATCACATGTTGCAAAGAAAAATATTAAAAAATATGGTAAAATGAATTTCCAACTCCAGGCTGAGATAATAAATAAATGAAATGATAAACATCAGATGTTGCAAAGAAAAATATTTAAAAATATGGTTAAGTGAATTTCCAACTCCAGGCTGAAATAATAAATAAATGATATATTTGATCTTCCTGACAGATAAATGGAAAGAGCATGCATATCAAACATTATTTTCAATTTCTCACTTTCTCTATCTTCTTTTTTTACCTCCTTACACCCTAACATATCAGTATCAATATTCTTCACACTCTCCTCTCTTCATCTTCTTTGATACAGACAAGGAGAATTTATTCAACACTCACAGCTTCTTTGGCTGGTAATCGGTACCTTTATTCTCATCACAGATCTTGATTAATGAGGGAGGGCATTCGGATTTTCTGTTTTGCACTGTTGGCTGTTTTTAGATCGGTTTTGGGCCAAAAACTGTGGTTTTTCAGTTTAAGTGTGTATTGCAGTTGGCGGATTTTCTGTTTTTCAGCATTTGTCTTTTGGTTTTCATAAATATCACCAGTGAGTTTTTGGATTTGGTATCTGATGCGGTTTTTGGTTTTTCCTATTTGGGTTCCTGTTTCTCCTCTATTTTAGCAGCAATTATGCACCTCCACTGATCTGGAATAGCCACAAAACCTCTGCATGCTCCACTTGTCACTTACTGTATTGGATCAATTAGGGTTTTAATAACTGGGATGTGAAAATTTATTGGTTTAGATGGTTTGGTGAGTGGTTTTTGGTTTTGATAGAATTTTCTGTGGTTTTAGGGTTTTGAATGATTTTTTGCACAGTTTTTACAGTTTTATGGTTTGACCCTAATGCCCCCTTATTAATAATTCCCCAGTGTTACTGTAAGGAGAAACTAGGTGCTGGTCACCCTTAAGGTTTTTAAAAAGGGCCAGTTAGCACTTTACCTCTGCATAGTACAAACAATAGAAAAAACACCAAAGAAAAATGCACATTCCAAAGCAAACAACGTCTTTCTGTCTATCTGATGAATTTTCACCCTCTCTTATCAAAACATTTTGAGATGTACCATCAGTATGCATTTTTCTCCATACTGTTCCTTACACATTTCCTAAGGTACTGACAAGGAGAATTTGTTTAACAATCAAGAACTTCTTTAGCTGCTGAACATTTCCTTCATTCTTGTGACCTTGCTGTTCAATTCAGCTGTGTTATCGTGAGGAGATAATAGCTGATTGTCACTCATAGGTGTTCAGGGGTTATTTCTTTTGTATAGTGAATGTAAAGGAATTACCCTCAAATTAACCTCAGACAGCTACTAAAACTTAACCCTTTAACTCCCATGAGTGACCAAGACAGAATTTCTTCCTACATTATCAATATAATATCAAGCAGACAAGTGATGAGAAGTTAAGGTAAGTTAAGAAGTTAGAGAGAGAAAAAATAAGCACTTATCAAAAAAAAATAGGATAAGCTTGTGAGGTAGCTTGATGTCAATAGAACTGGAGGATTAGCACCAAAATTAGACAGCAGCATTTATTGTCCCTTTTTAGTTGTTTTTAATCACAACAGTCAGGTTTGTTTCCAATGGAATGATTGGATAAGACAAATTTGTCATCCAATGTCCAAGGCCCCCCTTCCCATACTTTATCCACCCATCACAGACAGGAAAAGATATAAGCCTTCAGAAAAAATTGTTGAAGTTTCTTTTCAAAATTTCCAAGAATTTTTGTCAAATCTCCAAATTATCCAATTCCCGGAACCTCCGTTTCAAATTGCTAGAGGAATTAGAAATTAGTCACCTTTTCTTTGGTTTTACCAGTTTTTGCATGGAAAGCAAAAGACAACTGTATCATAATCCTCTAACTCATCTTCCTTCTACCAACCCACATAACTGAGCATGCAAGAACTCTCCATGCCCCAAAAGCAATGCTAACCCCTCCCACACCCCCCCCCCCCGCCCACTCGCAACGACTCCAGCATAATGAGAGATTATTGAAAAAGCTGCAGTCTAACGCGGCAGAGGGAAGCAGACTTGCAGACACATCATTTTGCTAAGCATGTATGCGAAACATCGTTAAGAACAAGCCAGCAAAAGCATGCAGAGCGTTAGCCTACGTGTAGCCGTGCCCTCCTCCCCCTTCCGTTTCTCCTTGGGGAGGAGGGTACGGCTACACGTAGGCTAACGCTAACAGAGCGTTCATAGGGAGAAATGATGAGGCGAATGTAAGCAAGACTGACACGTCTCGCATTGCAGTTACACGGATTCGAGAACTATGCGAGGGTGATTGAAGCGATTATAGTCAAGGTGAAGGTTATTTTATCGTTAGCAAGGAAATCTCTCGATCCAGAAAAAACGCACGTTGAGCTGTTGAGTGTTATGTTATTTGACTAGACGGACATGTCAAGTGTTTCGTGGAAAATGTGAAAAATAAATTATATTGTCACCCTTCTCAGGACTTCACTCATCCGGACGATCATATGATAACTCCTGATTCAAACCATTTACTGTAAATTGTAATCTTTAAAAACAACTTTAAAAAAAAAACTACTGACGAATTCAGACGGGTTTCAGACGCGCCATTCTATACACCTTGACGGCCAGCTGTCCGCCTCCTCAGTCCTTCCAGTTGCCTAGGTGGTATTGAGAACAAGTAAAAAGACAAAGCAAAGATGTCTACTGTCTATATCATTCATGTTCCTCTAAAGATCGATCTGCGATCTCTTGACCAGGACGACTGCTGCTTTCCCAGTAACCAACGGCGTCCTCTTCTCCAGTCCTCTCCGGTCGGCCATTGAGGTGTTTGAGCCTACAGTCTACCAGCGGTGAAGTAAAAAAAATAAAAATAGGGGCGAAATGGCGGAGTTACGCAGCAGTATGTTAAAGTTATTTTCATTTCTCTTCTTTTTGCTCTGCTTTGTCACTCTGCGAGTTTCCTCGTGTGGAATAAGTACACATATAGACATTGGCCATCAGGCTATCAACTGGTTTAAAGATACAAGAAATAACACTGATTACAGGGAAATCATTCTGAGGCACCAAGACGCGTTCATAGGCGGAAATCCATATCCGGACGCCATGTATTCGGGTTTGTGCTTTAAAGGAAAATTTCATGCGGTTGCTGAAGATACACATTGGGCTCCCTTTATTAATGCCACTGTTAGGTATATCAGGAAGAAATACCCAAAACCTTGGGATCAGGTGAGTGGAATCGATAGATCATATCCTTTACTTGAACTGCGCTCTTGTCATGTCCAATCACGATCCTTCATTTTCCACTCTTAACAACTCAAACTTGACCCCACTGATCACTTAATTTTTTATATGTATGGCTACTGCTGAGTTTACTATCGCTGTAGAATAATGGAAAGTTGAATAATGATCATATTTTAAGGTTGTTGTGGTGATTTACAGACTGAAAAAGTGGTAAATGGAAGGTTAATTGAGACTTTCTTGAACCATCACGCTTCAATGTGTCACGCGATATTACCGAACATTGCCTTTCCCCGTGTTGACCACTTTCACATCATTTTTACCATTTGGGTTTAAAACAACAATCCCGATTTCTCAGGGTATAGCTTGTTGGGAAAGATGCGGAAAAATCCCATCTACAGAATCTTCGGAAGAATGTCAACGAGGACATGAGTTAATCACGTGTCACTCAAATGAAGAATATGATTGATTCTCATCATATAGTCTTTTAGATAGACATTGTAGTCCCAAACTTTTTGGGTCAAAAAAGAAATGTTTTTTTATTTATCAGTTGAAAATTTGTAAAACACCAATTTCAATGAGAGAGGGTGAATCAGGTCATCTTCCAAAAGCAATTTTTTAAACAAGAAAAAAATTGGCATGGGGAAGTCTTTTAGAAAAAATACAGTAAAATGAAAAGCACCTCTGGAAGAAACCTTAGAAAATAGGATTCAAGCTCTCCCCTTCAAAATGAAATGCCCCAACCCTAAAAAAATAAAGGCAAGGAGACCAATCTAACTCTTTAGTCAACATTGATGATTTCAAACACATCATGTCAAGGAAGATAATATAAAATATTTCTGCTTTGTATACAGATTATATTTACAGGCTGTAACAGCAGCCAAATTGGTTACTTGTTCACTCAATTTATTTTCAAGGTAGTCCTGAAGGATTTCCACCCCATCTATTCTTATGTCAGTGGTCTCTTCTGTTCAAGCAAATTTACATAGCTACTCACCACATGATGAAAAACGTCCTTTAGTAAACATATGCACCAGTAAAGCATTTTAAATTTACTACACCTGATTTGATAGGAGACAGAAAAGTTGGTTGCTTTTACCCTGGGATTTGTATCACACCAAGTAGCAGATGTGACATGGCACAGTCTTGGGATTGATCAAGGATTCCTCACCACAATGGGAGATGTTAATTTCTTTGGTTCCTTTCCAGCAGCTCACAATATTGGTGACCCTGGTGGAGATATGGTTGTGTCATTTGAGGGGGACACAAGGAATATAACTGCTAGCATTAATGAGTGGTAGGCAACATTGTTTTGAAAAATCATATTTTTGAAGAAATATTTTCAATCTTGTACCTTTTGACTCCTGAGAGTGATTAGCATCCAATTTCTCTTTACAATATCTCCTATCTCTCTATCTCCTATCTCCTCTATCTGAATCAAACATGTAGTTCACAAGAATAAAGAAAATGATCATTAACTAAAGAGGCTCTTGAATGTTAAACAAGTTCTTTTCATCAGTACCTCAGGAAATGAATGGGGAACAGCATGGAGGATATGCAAAGTGATTTTAGGGTATGAAGAGCTGAAGGAATACATTTGAAAGTTAACTGGATTCATTTTATTATTTTGCATCAGGTATGTTCCAAGTGGAGATCTAGAAGATATTTATCTTGAATATTATGGGGAAAAAAAGATTGACAAAAATGAGATAGAACTCTGCACTGCCCTCCTTTTGCTTGGTTGGGTTGGAGAGCACATTGGTGGAGCTAAGTTGTTTTCTAAGTATTCAAAGACTTCTCCCTTTTTAATGGAGGACCTGCACTCATACTTCCAAGGTGGGTTAGTGTTTGTATTTGATTGTAATTAGCTATGAGATATTCATCCTTAGACTGTCTTAGAGGGGCGCATTAGTTCTTATTTTCAATAGTATTATTCCTTTGGAGAAAACAAGTCTCAATAAAATCCCAGTAAAAAGTGATGTTTGTAGAATGAAACTTAAGTCAATCAAAGATCATTGTATGTCTGATCTAAGCTGAATTAACCATGCATTTTGATTGGGTCTTAATTACAGTATTGATCTATTTGAGGACAGATGCATACTTACCAATAACAGTATTTTCCTTTTTTTAGTTATCATACAAAGCAAATAAATTCCACTTTGCTGTGGATCTGTACAGTAATAGATCACAGAGGAAATCAAAATGTGGCAAGACTATGAGTGACACACTTGGCAGTGCCTTGTGTGCCATTTTGTTCTTATCCACATTTTGATATCATCTGTGATCTGTTACTGAATAGATGGACAGCAATATGGAATCTATTGATTATTTTACAGTTAGACCACTTCTGATTAATTAGTGAGGATGTGATTTTAAGTGTCATTAATAATCTTTTGAGGTGCAATTGATGCTTTTAGGGGGTGTAGCAGACATGGCAGCCTGGTCAGTTCTTCTGTGGCACAAAACTATTGACATGTTAGAACATGGAACAGATGTATGTGTTATTCCACATAGCCCTCTCTTTATTTCTTGCAATACGAGTGATTCTGCTACAGCTTCATCAAGGAGACAGTTGGACAAAAAACTCAAGAATCCTGGAACAGTTACACCAGCAGAAATACTTAAGCTTGCCGATTTTTCTAATATAAATATGAAGCAGACCAAGAGAGGCACTTACTTTTCATTGTCAGAGTCTCTTCATGAAAAGATGTTGAAAAGCAAAAGTTTGTCAAGGGATTGCCATGGTTCTCAAAACTGCCATTTAAAAGTGATGTCAAATGAGAACAGTGCAGATAAAAGGGCATTATTAATGTCTGCAGAATATTCATCAACTGTGCCTTATGCAAGATTAGGATGGTGAGTAAATTGTTGTTTAACCTTTGAAACTCAAAGATCTGACAGAAGCATTATACCTGCAAAAATGTCCCAATGTTTACAGGTCTCTTGCCTATGGCAATTTCAATGGTCAGAATATTTCCCTTGTGATTGGAGCACCGGGGTATGGTACCCCAGGCAACAGCCAACATGGGCGGGTATATCTTGTTACTGGTGATGCTGACAGGGGCTTACCTGATAAAGACTTGGACTTGGATGTGTCTGCAAACATGATTCTGGATGGTACTGTGGAGAACGGACGGTTTGGTACTGCTGTGGCTGTAGTGGATTTTAATAAAGATGGAGTGGATGACCTCGCTGTGAGTGCTCCAGCAACAGGTATGAGTTATTGACAGTTTCTACTTTTTTGCTGTCAAAGGCTGTGACGAACTGCAGTGAATATAGAGGCTTCGGGTGAAGCTACAAACATGAAGCAAAAGGAAAGGCTTCGGCAAAGCTACAAAACACTAGCACAGTCAAGCGCTATTTTAACCATAAGGAGTTCTCATGAAAAGTCCTGACTGTATACAAAAAATTTAAGCATGACGGGATTTGTCACACAATACAACTGAGAAGGCATTACATAATTATTAATAATAATTTTGCAACATTGTGATTGACTAGTTCAATTAATAAAGTTATACCATTGACCTATCAACCCTTCAACCACTTAGAGTGGCTAGAATCTAATTTCCCTTCACAA